TCACTGCAGGTAGTTCGATGGTTGTCACATAGACTCCAATTCCGCGTTTTTTTCTGTGTTCTTCAGAGATATTGATTTATCCCTGACTAGATTGTAGATGAAATGAGGCTTTTAATTCATATTAACATGGTTAACCCATGTTTGTCTTAAAATGCTCAAGGTCCTGTCAGAGCTGATCACTGATAGAAAACTACGTAATATTGTCTTGAACACGCAAGCTCGCAAGTCATAGCAATAACAGCCCGGCGCCCGGCGTTGCAGTCTCCGCGCCGCGCGGCCTAGGCCTTGCGGCTGTAACACTAAGCAATGGCCAATGAGCGAACGAAAAAGATGACGCATCTTAAGGGAGAGGGCTGGCGAACTAGGTAAATCGGCACGCATGTTTAATTATAGTGCAAGAGTAAGCCAAATGCAACCTTCATCTGAGAAGTGGCGGGGGAGGGGGAGGGCAGTTAACATTACTGGCCCCCCACCTTGAAAAGTGGGGGGCATGCTTCCCCTGTCCCCTCCTGTACCTACGCCCATGGTTGGATGCTTTGGTTGTCGGGCTTTGGCTCCTTGGTTCGTATTTTCTGCGAATACTCATTGAGCCTTTTTCATTTTCATTTCCGTTGACTATGAGAGGAAAGAGGAACAGAGGGACAGATAAAAAGAGAAGGCATGCCGTGAAAACTGATCCTTAAGTCTCCATTTGAGAGTTATGCTGACTCGCTCTGTTGAGTGTCAGTGCCATAGCTAGCATATCGCCCAGGAGTAGGCCACACCGGGGCTGAACGGCCCTTTTAGCCAAGGAGCCCATTATTTCGCCCAGGAGTAAGCCAAACCAGGGGCTGAACGGCCCTTTCAGCCAGGGGTCCCACGTGCTAACCTGCCGGGGCACTCTTGATTGATCAGGCACCTTCCACGCACTCTTTTCTTTCCCGGATGACCTTACACTCTCGCCGGGTGTCGGCCTTTCTGTCGACCTGTCCTGGCACTCCTGGCCGCACGGGGACCCGCCACGTTAGTCTTTGGTACCTTCTATGTGCTCAGAGGACCCTCCGCTGCTGTCGGGTGCCCTATACGCCAAAGTAAGTAGCCTAGATTGGCTCTGGGCTGATCCCATTTGCTCGGAGGGCCCTGAGCTCTGGCCGGGGCCCTATATGTCAGCCTATCGGGGCACTTCCGATCGCTCGATGCTCACCAAATTCGTCTTGGGTTCTTCTCGTTTGCCCTAAGGACCGCACTCTGTTGACCGGAGCCTCTTTTGATCAACCGCGTCACTCGATCGCTTAAGTGCCGTCCCTATTGGTCTTGGGTTCTCGCATTATATTGGAGGGCCTACGCCGCTGACGGGGGCCTAAATGTTAATCGGCCGGGGCACTCTTGACCACACCGGTGTCCTCAATATTGGTCTCGGGCTCTTCCTGTGAGGTCAAAAAGACCCTGCTCCATTGCCTAAAGCCTGCATGCGCTCGCCAGCGCCAATGCTTCCACCACGTATGGTGCTTCGCCTGCCCACGTGAACGGAACTGGCTAAAATAGTTCTTGTTCACAGGTCCACGATTAACGCGATGGCGATTTTCCTTCGCAGCGTCCCAGTCCAGGATAACAACAGCCACACATGCGACAATTATTTTTTACGTGCAACTGCCTGAGATAGTTTTACGCATTGCCGACGTTGCGTATTTAATTTAGCTTAATTGTTAGATTTGTGACACTCATTGCACTTGAGTATGACATTCTTAACAAAATTTGAATGGTAGTGGTTACATTTTATGCTCTTTCATTAACGCCAAAACAGAAACTCTGCATCAGTCATCAGTCAACAGCTGATCACAGCATCGACTAGCCGACGACACTGGATGGCAGCAACCACCATGGGGTCAAGTGCCTTACTTAATACTGATAACATTTGTCAACCAACTCTGACTCATTCCGCCACGTCTTTCCAAAATATTTAGCCTCAAAATGGCAGGGGCCACCACGCTCCGGAGAAAACCAACGCGCTGTATGTCGGCACGTACGTGTCAAACCTGGTTTTCAAGGGCTGTGCACAGAAAGATGGTTTCTTGCTTAGACACAGCAAACCTAAGAATCTTAAAAGCCCCAAACCTCAGGAACCCACGACCTTGCGGGGCACACCATTTGATGTAATCGTGCATCCGCCACTGGTTGTATGCTAATGATACCGTTCCAGTCGGTTTTTCCGCTGATTGCCCTGCTTGTTGAGCACCCTCTTTGAGCCTCCGGTCCTTGGAGCATACCTGGTAGCCGCTCCTAAATGGTCCGTGAATGGACCATACCTAAATAGTATGGTCCGTATCGGCTAGGTGGTTTATTTCCTTCATCCTTGCATGGCGTCACTGTTGCTGATAGCATTTGCGCGATGCTGGAGGCATCCGTCAACGCCTTTCTTCACCGGGAGCGTCCGGATGACGAGACTGCAAGTTCAGGCAACGACCGGATGCTGTTGGCTTCCGATACACCGATGTCCTGAACCTGAGGTTGGTTCTGTCGACTTTTGCGTCTGAGGTCGGTGTCTGTCGTTGTGCTCGCCCTCCATGGCGAGCTGAATGAACGGTTGCAAGCTGTCGTTGCGGTCGAGGGATGTGCTCACGTCTTCCTGGCGTTGCAAAAGGACGAATGTGGCGTTAAAGTATCGCAATCACACTGAGGGCTTCGGTGGTGCAGTTTCCATCACCAGGCCATCGAAATGTTTCATATGAACGTAGACAATCACCGGTGGCAAAGGCGATGCCGTGGTCATTCCGTCGGTTCGCTGCTGGCCTTGTCTGTTGCGCCGCAACACGGCTGTAGTGGCCAGAACGCGGATGGCAGCCGAATGTAACAAGTCGATTGAGCCTTCCGTCCTTCTGAACATTCACTAACACGTGATGATTACCGGAGAATCGACCGGCCTAAACTTTGTGTATCTATCACAGCAAACGAGAACACCGGACCGAACAATTATATCGAAAGACCGAGCAATTAGGCCGACAGGTCAAAAGGTAGTCGAATTGTCGTTATTTGTGATAAAACGACAAATACCGCGTTGGTCATTAATGACATTAATGACGCATGATGGCATACTACATTGCATGTTGCGGTGCTGTCGCGTAGTTACGGGATTCAGCCTTTAGTTATACGTGGTTGCGGTTATCGTGGTTACAATGCTCAGCGTTTGGTGCGCAACTAGCGGTTTGTGACACGTCTATGACACTTCCACTTCTTTAGGCTTTGGTCGCTGCTCACGTGCGATGCGATGAGGTGCGGGCGCATGGGCTGACCAGTTAGGTCATGCGGAACGATCTGTGATCTTAAGCTGACGATATCTTACACGTTTTTTACTTCGCAACTATTACTGTGAACCTTTCCACCAGATGGATTTGTCGGATCAGTGCCCTCGTTGATGTTTACGACTGTACGCTTGCGTAACGTGCTGTAACGCCCGGCGCGGTCCGCCCTGCCCTCTGACGTCATCTGACATTTTGCGTCGTCGCTGCCGCCGGCCGCAGGCCATCCCAGCCAGAGGTAAAGAGCGAGCGCCTAAAACAAACGGAACTATCCCACTACGGGCATGTGAAAAAAGAAGGCAGGCGCTCTAACGGACCGAGCTATTGAGGCTGGAAGACGACGTTGTGTGCTCCTAAATAAGCAGTGAAACGAATGAGCACCATTTCTTAACTTCGATATGCCTCCGGGTATTTATCCTCAGGGCTGCGGTAGAAGTTTAGGTTCTTCCTCTGGTCCCAACTTTTTTTGTCTTCGTCTTCATTAGGGCTTTACGACGCATTCAGCTACTGAGGCTATATGGTGCCACTTACCTCTCAGCGTTGCAGGAAGGGCGAGTACCGTTGGGAATCAAAGGCCTTACCTCTGGTTTCCCAGATGCATAGTTTAACCATTACACTATCGGAACCCGGCCCAACTTTCTCTGCTGCCATTTTTATGCTGTTGTAAATTGCCCCAACTAAGCCTATTTAAATTTTTCAAAGTTGACCACGGTTACGCGCATGTCATTCGCAAAGGTGTCGAAAATTTGAGGCAACACCTCACGTATGACAAACCTCGCCGGTCGTGATACACGTCGTACACGTGTATTACGTGTACGACGTGTATACACGTCGTATACGTAATGCGACGTCGTATTACGTACACGTAAAAGGAGAAATTAGGTCAAGTTTCCGTTTTGAAAGTAATTTCGGTAACGAATCCGTGAAACGAGGTCGAAACGATTCCCGCTCATATGCGGGAATCGAAGTGCTTAGTTTCCTATTTTCACTTCAGATTAAACTTAGGACTAGGTGACTTTTGGGACGTGCAAAAGAGAAAGCGTAAGGCAATAACTCGTCGCACAAGGCGAGTGATTGGAGAATTGTTGGCGGGTCCGCGGTGACGTCAGCAGCTCGCGTGCGCGGCATTTGGCAACCGTTCGCATGCGCCCCGGTTGGCGGCGGTGTCGCTCAGCCCTCGCGGTCTTCGCCCCTGCAACTCAGCCTATGACATATAAGCGCCAATCGACATCGATTTTCTGTCCGGACCGCTGCCGCGCCGCTAAGGGCGACACTGCGGAGTGATCAGCGTGGGGGGCCGCGGGTGTCCAGTCCCCCCCCCCCCCCACGGCCCGCTGCCGCGAGCGCGAACTGGTTTGGTGACGAGCTTTATGTCACATGTGCGCGAGCGCAGCGCACCGTTCGTACGACAGCGTCGACTGCGCTGGGTGCAGCCAGCGATCACCGCTGCAGCAGCCAGCACGTGAAACCGCGCCGGCTAGGAGTCTGTGTCACGCGGCCGACCAAGGCCGCAGAGCTGCGGGCGCCTGCTGGCGCGCGGCGCGCCGGGTGGGGCACGGTGCCCCGCGGGGCGCAGCTGGGCGCGCCCCTGGCGGCGGCGGCGGCGGCGGCGGCGGCGGCGGCGGCGCGCCACGTGCCGCCGATTGCCCCCACCTGGCGGCGCTGCCCGCGGCCGGCGCCGCGCCGCAGTGTGCGTGCGCGCGCGCCGGCGGCAGCCGACCCCGGACAGGTCACGTCGCGCGGCCGCCGGCCGGTCCGCCATGAAGGGCCGTAAAGGTGAGTGCGGCGGGCGGCCGCCGTCGCTGACAGGCGACTGACGGGTGCAGCGGCACGTGGGCTGGCGCGGCCAGCCGGCCGGCTGGAACGCGCCTTCTGGGAGGTCGGTGGGTGGGGGCGGGGGGGGGGGGGGGCTGCGGCTGTGTCATTGGCTCCCGCGGATGCGGTACCGAGTCATGTCTTGGCACAGCAGCGCTGAGTGGATACTTGGGTTCTTTTGTTGATTCAGCTGCCAGATAGATGGGGTTAACGTCGTCGTCAACCTGTTAACATCGAGTTAACGTAACTCGTCAAAGTCGCATTAGGACAGGGCCCGGCGTCGAAAATAGGCCTGCTTACCATTTCTGTCAGCGTGAAACGATAAACCAGGCTCGAATGTTGTGAGCTCATGACAAACGTACTCGAGGTTATGAGTAATGTCTTTGAGCGCGGCATATTTTGAGCCTCTTCACAGGGCAGCAAATATGCACTAAGCATCAGATGGTTCGTACGTAAGCTCACATATTCTGTCTGGCGACGGCAAAGAACATCGCCATATCATCACCATATCCCACATCGATCGTCACCATATCCCTCATCCCCGGCCGCCTCCCTCTCCCCCTGTCTCTCTCTCTCTCTCTCTCTCTCCTCACTGCAGCGTAGGCGAATTCCGGACCAAAATAAAACGGGCGCGTTTGGTTCATCTCCAACCTGCCCGGGCGGCGCACGCTAGGGAGGAAAGAGTGGGAGAGCAGCCGAAAGAGAGCGAAGGAGAGAGAGGGGAAAGAGAGAGAGAGAGAGAGAGAGAGAGGGAGACAGAGAAAGAGAGCACATCATGGAGACCAATGAGTATCGAGGCGTCCTGAGCGAAAGTGACTGAGAGAGGCACACACGATCTTAGACAGACGACACCTTTAAGCTGAGTAGGCAGAGCAGGCCCTCCAAGAGCCACATCGCGATCGCGGGAAGCTGGGGGCGCGCAGTGTGCGTGCCGCCGCAGCTGACACTCGTGCACCTTGAAAAAGCATTATCTGCGCAAAATCTTCCACCGGCTTTGCCTTGAACGTGCAGGTTGACAATGGCCATTTGCAACGGTTCTGCGCCAGGCGATACATATTTGCAAGGCCTGCAACCGGTTTGCAAAGACTTTTCTCTTTGCCTTCGGGCGCGCCAAGCGCTGATCGCGGTCAGATTCGGACGGAGGTAAGAGCCGCATCGGCATAATGAATGTGTCGGACCCGAGCCGGCTGCAAGAGCGACCCTCGGCTGTGTCTTTCCTGGACGGGTGCCGTGACCCAATCCCGAGGAGCCTCGCCAACAAAAGCACGGCGTCCGCTCGACTCCCGGCCCCCGCGCTGATCGGATGTTGTCGGTTTCAGTTCGGAACTACAAACCTTACACGCGAAGAGACAGGGTGCGAAAACAATCGCCTATTTTTCCCGCCGCGGGGTTGGCAATGTTTCACGTTGTTGGACTTGATTTGTTGTTGAAACAGACGCGAATAGTATTGGTCGGGCGGACCGTCTGGAGCGCCGGGACAGGTGAGTCCAGACTTGTACCCAGACGAGGGAATTGGAAGTACGTTAGCAACAGGGGGGTCAGGTGAAGCTGTGTCAGCAGACGTAAGCAGCAGGGGGGGGGGGGGGCAGGTGAGGCTGTGTCAGCAGACGTGAGCAGCAGGGGGGCAGGTGAGGCTGTGTCAGCAGACGTGAGCAGCAGGGGGGCAGGTGAGGCTGTGTCAGCAGACGTGAGTAGCAACGGGGTCGAGTGAAGCTGTGTCAGCAGACGTGAGCAGCAGTGGGGTCAGGTGAGGCTGTGTCAGCAGACGTGAGCAGTAGGGGGGCAGGTGAGGCTGTGTCAGCAGACATGAGCAGCAGGGGGGCAGGTGCGGCTGTGTCAGCAGACATGAGCAGCAGCGCGGTCAGGTGAGGCTGTGTCAGCAGACGTGAGCAGCAGGGGGACAGGTGAGGCTGTGTCAGCAGACGTGAGCAGCACGGGGGCAGGTGCGGCTGTGTCAGCAGACGTGAGCAGTAGGGGGGCAGGTGAGGCTGTGTCAGCAGACGTGAGCAGCAGGGGGGCAGGTGAGGCTGTGTCAGCAGACGTGAGCAGTAGGAGGACAGGTGAGGCTGTGTCAGCAGACGTGAGCAGCACGGGGGCAGGTGAGGCTGTGTCAGCAGACGTGAGCAGCAGGGGGGCAGGTGAGGCTGTGTCAGCAGACGTGAGCAGCAGGGGGGCAGGTGAGGCTGTGTCTGCAGACGTGAGCAGCAGGGGGGCAGGTGAGGCTGTGTCAGCAGACGTGTGCAGCAGGGGGGCAGGTGAGGCTGTGTCTGCAGACATGAGCAGCAGGGGGGCAGGTGAGGCTGTGTCTGCAGACGTGAGCAGCAGGGGGGCAGGTGAGGCTGTGTCAGCAGACGTGAGTAGCAACGGGGTCGAGTGAAGCTGTGTCAGCAGACGTGAGCAGCAGTGGGGTCAGGTGAGGCTGTGTCAGCAGACGCGAGCAGTAGGGGGGGCAGGTGAGGCTGTGTCAGCAGACGTGAGCAGCAGGGGGGCAGGTGCGGCTGTGTCAGCAGACGTGAGCAGCAGCGCGGTCAGGTGAGGCTGTGTCAGCAGACGTGAACAGCAGGGGGACAGGTGAGGCTGTGTCAGCAGACGTGAGCAGCACGGGGGCAGGTGCGGCTGTGTCAGCAGACGTAAGCAGCAGGGGGGCAGGTGAGGCTGTGTCAGCAGACGTGAGCAGCAGGGGGGCAGGTGAGGCTGTGTCAGCAGACGTGAGCAGCAGCGCGGTCAGGTGAGGCTGTGTCAGCAGACGTGAACAGCAGGGGGACAGGTGAGGCTGTGTCAGCAGACGTGAGCAGCACGGGGGCAGGTGCGGCTGTGTCAGCAGACGTAAGCAGCAGGGGGGCAGGTGCGGCTGTGTCTGCAGACGTGAGCAGCAGGGGGGCAGGTGAGGCTGTGTCAGCAGACGTGAGCAGCAGGGGGGCAGGTGGGGCTGTGTCAGCAGACGTGAGCAGCAGGGGGGCAGGTGAGGCTGTGTCTGCAGACATGAGCAGCAGCGGGGTCAGGTGAGGCTGTGTCAGCGCGCGTGAGCATTAGCGGGTACATGCACACGAAGCATACGCATGCGCAATAGCGAATAACAAACGTATAAAGCGACACTAACCCACCTTGTCACTGGTGGACGAATCTAAAGGCACGTGCTGCAAGGAGCTGAGCTGCTGGGACGGTCGAGATACGGGAACGGATCCCCTAAGTTATAACTATCCAAACTACTTTCAGCCTTCTAACTCAACACCAATGTTTCGGTACGTCCCATCTACCAACGGTAACAAGTCTACCAGAGACATTCCAGCTGCATGTTTTGCTCTGAAATGATGCAAAATTTACTTTTTTTTCTTCAAAAATCAGCCACTCAAAAAACATTTACAGTGACAAATATGCCACAATTTTGCACTGCTTTGCCCAGCTGACGGTCTTCTCACCCTATGCCTAAAGTACTGCCATGGCGCTGGTACCACTATCCCGTACACCGGCTACCTGTTAAAGTCAATGTTAAGGTCTAAGTATTACTGACACATTTATGCACGAACAGTAAACGGCTAACAGGAAAGCACGTGTATCAGATTAATCAGGAAGAATGTACCTCATCTGCCTGCGTATGCAACTGTGCATTATTTGTTTTCAGTCCCAATCCATTCGGTCGGATTAAATGTCATTTTTGATATTTTGTTCAAGAACGATGATTATATTTTTGTAGCGATAACGTTAAGGCAGCAACCAATGCACATAGATATCCGGAACGGAACCCCCAACAAACTTAATTTGGACGCCTTGCAATTTGTTATTTAGCTAACCGCGGTATAATGGTAGTAACCGAAGGAACCGTCAAATTTGAGAACATCATAATACAGTGTTTTAACGAGTGCAGCAGTGACAAGATCGTCAAAGTGCATTCTGGGTATAACCAAGTGCAGCAAAAGTATCCTTGAAGACTCTTTTGCAACGCCCTCCCCCCCCCCCCCCTGCTCCCTCGACGGGAGCTATGTAAAATTGTCCTTTAGGCGAACGAATACGAATGTTCCATCAATCTTATGAAAAACAAGTTCGTGGGAACCGGAAACACCTCAAGATTGACCCCAAGCTTAGCACGAACGTGTTTTTTGTGACACAGACTCTTGCTAGTTTCATTTTGTCCATCCAGGGGCACCACTAGATCTGTTGCTACATTTGAAGTTGGCTCCATTCTCCCAGTGCTTCGTGTGAAAGCCGATGCCTTATACAATCATTGCAGAATAAAGGGAAACACATCGCGAAGGGAAATTGTGTGATGAATTGGCAGGGCTGACACATCTTTCTACACACCCAAAAATGCTTTGTTTCGGTGGACCCAACTCATTTCAGGAGCGAGTGGACCGACCTTGCGTATCTGGTGCACGTTACGTTGCCATACACATGTTAACTATTGCCATAGCAACGTGGTAACACAGCAACATTGCGATGTCTTACGCCGATAGGAGAACATTTCAAGCTCTGATTGGCCCTCCAACAACGCTCTAAGTGGCGTGGTACTGCGGCCGGCTGATAGAATTGCATGGATGGATCACTAATCCAGATTGCGTTCCTTTTGTGGATTGCACATTTACTCACAACCGCGTTTTTAAATGAGGACTTTTTGTCGCGTAGTGGATTTCATGATATTTCAGTTCTGGCATCCAGACCTGACTGAACACAGCGATGCTTTGGATCGTGTATCGCTATGTGCAGTGAGTCAGACAAATCTGGTTTTCAGGCAATTGCGCCTCCTTGCTATCGAAAACTGACTTTAACAATAATTTCACCAGTAATTATCATTAATCTGCTTGAAGGTGGTTAGCGGCTAGATTACAGTCCTGTTCACACAAAAAACTTGCAGATTACGGTGCAGTCATGAACATAATAATGCCTTAGATGTGACTGTTTCGACTTCTGTTCAGCTTCCGTATCATATGATGGAACACAAAAAAGGTTCAATTTACACGAAAGCTACTGAGATTTTGATCTCCCCAATCCCTCTGTTCGACACCCCCGTGGCTGCAAGCCCGTCAGAAAAGATCTAGCACCTCCGCACATAGTGGCATTCGTGAAATCAACAGTTACGTAATACCCGTGGACTTATGATGACAGTACAGACCTTTTTCTGTTAGAAAGCATTGCCAGTGCAGCTTACGCCGCAAGTAAGCCCGGCTCACCAACACCGATCTTACATAACAGCAACCTTGGCGTACCACGAGGGAGCCAGACTTGTGTTCCAAGCAGTGTATTCCGGGACCTGCCGGTACGATGTCGCTGGAAACTATGTGCAGCGCTCCAGACGGGCATGTTGCCGCTGACAGCCACTCCGTATGTTTGTATGGCCCATACTCACCACGCTTACGAAGCTCCGGCGTCAGCCAACCGCTGTGCCAGGCCTCCGGACGGAACGTCTATCCGTGGAGCAGTGTCGGTCGGCCGTCTTCGCCATACATCGATAATAGGGCGCTGTCTACGAACGGCGCCGCCTCGAGCAGCCGACCAGCTGTGCCGCGGCCGCTGATAGGCAGCACGTGCGCCGAAGGAGTGCCAACGTCACGCCCCGACCAGGCGCAAGACGCTGCAGAGCAGTGGGCCCTCTGCTGATGGGTGGCAGCGGCGGCGACGGTGGTGCGTGTGTGCTATCATTTGCTGACGGAACACTGCTGTGCGCGTATAATGGCTATCAATTGGCCTTATGCCAAGATGCCATGCCCGTATTTTGCATTCGCCACAAGTGGTATGACAGCGCCGATTGCATCAATCCTTATGTTGGCTGACGACAATTAAGAATGCTTGGATTGTACCCAGTTTTGTCTTCCTTTGCCATCTGAATTTCCTCTGTTCCCCTGAATATTTCCCTGTTCGTATTTTTTTTCCAGTCACGTCTGTACACTTCGTGGCACACCATTTGCAAACGTAAGAAACGCAAGTTAATTGGTGCAAACGATATCCTCAATAAGCAAATGGCATAACAGTTTCAAGCATTGACACAAAACAGGAATAACGAAAGACATGCGTGCTCCGTGCAATATTGAAAACTACATAATACGCTTCAAAATTTTTCATTTCAGATGTCATATATCGCTTCTTATGGCGCCCGTTCTTTTCGGAAAGTTGGCAGCAGTCTTAGTTCTGTATGGGTTGTTCAAATTGATACCGAAAGCTTAAAAAACGAGAGGATAGTCGGCTGCTGAAGGAAACGAAACTTTGGAATTCAGGTGTAGGTGCAGACTACCAAAACATCGAGACACGCACTTACATGCCACTTGCTGTTTCAGCTCAAAAAAGCATGCGGTTGTAAACAATCGGTGCAATCAAAAAGACGAAAAAACTAATAACTCGTGAATAAATGCCGATACAGCATGCCTATCATTATTTTTCTTCTCTTCCGACGCCACGGTACCTGACAGGCCAACATTTAAGATATTTATTTGGCCTTTGTTAAGGGATATCTTTCAGTGCCAACAATTTCCAAAGAAACTCGAACCAAACCACGTATCCAACCGAACAAAAACGGACAAAACTCACTGCGTGAAGATATACCTAACAGCACGAATAACGGTCGACGATGGATAAACATTTATCGACAGCTTTAAGAGAGCGAGGAATTTTAGATAATGAAACACAGTCCGCACTACTTATGAGTATGCACACTACATAAGGGCCGTATAAGGCTATCAGTGGTCGTTCTTGATCAAACACGCACATCCGTATATTACATACACACACACACACACACACACACACACACACACACACACACACACACACACACACACACACACACACACACACACAGACACACGCACACACACACACACACACACACACACACACACACACACACACACACACACACACACACACACGCGCGCGCGCGCGGATCTCAGTATATCTTGGCAGAATATTCTCTTTATGCATATGTGATTCAAAACGACCGCTGATGCATGCATGCAAAACCAAGCGTCTTGATACATCGTTCGAGTTTTCCGGATTTCGAATTTGCAGTATCTTAAGATAAAAGATTGTCCGTGAAAAATCATTCATGTATTCGTTGATATCTCTGCATTATAACATTTCGAGACCTTATTTCATCGTTGGAGAAATATAACTGGTACAATAAATAAGTTTTGATTTTTTAACGACGAGCGTTGTGCATCGCTTTCTTAAGAATAGCTTTAAACATGGAGAAGACGAAAACTCCTATCGTCACTTGGATGCGTATCAAATGCATCCGTAAGGAAAAAAAAACTAACAAAGACACAGCCACAATCACATGTACAGTTGCTACCGCCCGCCACCTAAAAATTCAAGAGTTGTAAAATAATTTGTTTGCTTGTTTAGGGCCGGAGAGGATTCGTTGATAACCATGCTTTTCCAAATTTGAAGACGTCATTTGTTATTGCATGTCAAAAGAATACCAATGCTATCCGTCAGTTGTTGTCGTATTTATGTCACGTCATTTTCGTGCCGCATGTGCTCCAAAGGTGCCCCATCGCGTGAGTGCATTGTCAGACGTCGTGAGCGTGTTCTTGTGGTTACGCCAACGTAGTACATGGAGCGAAGTTTGCGGCTTTAAAGATAACATCTGAGTTGAAATACATCGGCACATGTTAGGTGATCGGGCTTGTCGGGACTGTTCGCCACAAGAAAGCTGGAGATGTTCCTGTTACGATGATTGATGACAATGTCTATTCTGTGGTTCTTCTCGCCTTTCACGTGTCAAGAGATAAGTTAACGTAGATCTTCTTTGTCTCTCTTGTGGGCAGATGTCTTTTATCTTCGTGATATGGTGAGACGGTTGACTGCTGGCTTTGGCTGTCTCGTCTCCGTTTATTGTAAAATGTCTGAGCACGTGTCGTTGTGTCTCGTTTTCAACGCCAGAATTCGAAAGACCGTTATGCATCAAGGTCTGTCTGATTTGTTCAAGTTCTGAATGTAATCCTGCCTGATCAAACCAATGCTTAAATGCACGTCCAAGGAGTGATCTTGCAACACTCTTTTGGTAGCGTCGAGGACATTCACTGTCAGCACGTAACCAACGTCCGCTGGTAGTCTGTTTTCGGCATGCTGTTGTTCTAAATCGCTGTCCTTGTCCATCAACAGTCACGTCAAGAAAAGAGTATTACATTTTGCCCGCTTAGATCTCGTTAATTTTAAGCAGAATCGCTCTTCAGATGTGTTTTGAGACATTGTGATTGCTCAGGGTCCCTAACCCATATATATATATATATATATATATATATATATATATATATATATCGCTGTTCTTGCCCATCAACATCTTTCGCATTATAAGCACCCGTTTCGTTTACTTATGTAACAGGTACAGGTCTTACATTTTTGGCGCACCATTGAATTTATGCCTGAATGATTCGCGCGTTGCGCGTTGAGGTATATATATATATATATATATATATATATATATATATATATATATGCATATATATATGTATATATATATATATATTAATGCAGTCTATAACATATGTATTGTATAATATCAATCAGCTTTTTGAAATGCTGCTCGAGGCTACTGGCGCTTGTCTTTTCAGTACCGTTTTGTTTGCTTGGAGACCTTGGCGCACGCCATGTGGGGTGCCGCATTATAACGCAGTTGATGGGGGCGGACATGAGTTTGAAAGTAGAGTTCTGTTGTAAAGCTTTGATCTGCAGATATGCGCGTGGAGGCAGCGGCACAAAACAGCTGGAGCGTCTCAAAAATACGTTTGGAGAACGATCTGGCTTAAAGCTCACTACAGGGCCCTAGTGTTAAAAATATAATACCTTTCCTTGACGTGGCTGCTGATGGGCAGGGAAAGCGATTTGGAAGCGACTGTGTACCGAAAGCAGACTAACAGCGAATGATGCTTAAATACTGACAGTGAGTGTCCTCAACACCGCAGTAAAACGTAGCGTTTCCATCAGCCGGCTTCGGATTACGGTTGCATCGGCTCAGGCATTCGACGTTTAAGACCAGAGTAGTGAAGTATTCATCTCATGCGCTATAGAACAATGGATTCCCGAAGCAGTACCTTTCTTTCTTATGAAGCGAGCTGCCACCGGCCAGTTTCATTCCACTGGCACGAGACTCAGCCGCCTGCTCACACCACGTGACCGGCTTAGCTGACCGGGCGCCGGCCGTCTCTTTCAGCCGCAGTCCGATCGCCGGCGTCGCCGGGCGGAGGCGACGACAGTAGCGACGCCAAGCGGCGACGCGGCAACCTACCCAAGGACTCGATCAAGGTGCTCAAGAGCTGGCTGTTCGAACACCGCTACAACGCCTACCCCAATGACGACCAGAAGGCAGAGCTGGCCGTGCAGGCCAACCTGACGGTGCTCCAGGTACGGCGCTGGGCTGCGCAGACCCGTGCGCGGGTCGAATATGGCGACGCGAATGATGCCGGGTTACCGAAGTCACAAGTAAATGTCCGCCGAGTAAAATGCGTGGTGTTGTTATGCTCTACGCAAGAGCGAGCTCAACTTGAAGAAAAAAATCGCCCTCCCCTGGCCGAAACTTCGCGCCAACGAACCGATATCTGAGATATTGTTTCCAGGTAGGCACCGCGTCCCACCACCTTATTTGTCCAGCTCAGGCAGGATGAGTTTCTGCAAAACACAGCTTCACGCCCGCAGCTGGCTACAGAGAAAGCTGAAGCCCCCTACAGGCGGTCAAAAGTCGAAATAAATCCGTGGTGTCTGTAGCCCTCGAAAGCTTGACGGTCAGCTCACAGCCCCATACTTCTCTAGATGTGCCTGTCTCATGATAAGGGTAGACCGGCGCCGAAACTCGTTACAGGGACTTAATTATATCATGTCGGGTTTTTACAGCAGCTCTGACCCGCCCGGTCTTTATCAAGACACCTCTGGTTGTGAACGCAAGAGACAGGAGCCCTTAGCATCGCTCGCAGCCCGGCCCGGCTCCGGTCACGACGGGCAGTTTTTATCGTTACCAGCCAGGCTTTCGAACGCTCACAGCAGTTGTCGGTTTGCCTGGGGAGGGGGGGGGGGAAGGGAGGGATGGTACGACACCTTCAGGTGACGGCGACGGTGAGGTACCTCGTTCCCACAACCTCCTTTGCAATTTCTGCCTGGGGCGAAAGCTGCGGATGACATGATTTCGTCGCAGTGGTATTTTAAAGACAGAGAGCTTTTGCAGAGACTCTGGTAAACTGGATAGTATAAAATAAACAGGGTGTGGAAACAGGGTGTGTGAAAAGGCTTTGGCACTGATTGTCTCCTGAGACTGACGTGATCTGGACCTGGACTGATCGCCATCTTGTTAAATGAAGAATATATATACATATATATATATATATATATATATATATATATATATATATATATATATGCAAGTGTTGTTAAGACCTTGTCGTAGGTGCACTTAATAATCTTACTCTGCACTTGCTCCAGTTTTCTGATTACGGTTGTCTGCTCATCCTTGAGACTAAAAAGTAACTCGCCGATGTTTGACATCTGTCGGTTGGTCTGACGTTTCGGTAGTACATAGTCCAATTTACAAAGGCACGCACATACAACATGCAAGTGTCAAATATATGATTATATGTTACAGTTACGTATAACCAGTAAGATATCACAATCAGGTGTAATATAGTTCAGTTCGCTCATCAGATTGTGTCGTGTCTAAATTACATGCTCGACAGTTTTTAGGAGCACTAAAATTCGGGCGGTAAAGCACGTGCTGAATAGTAAGATGTACCATTTGCGGATGGTATCTAAATGAATTGAAAGGTGACGGAGGGGTTGGTTTACTTGTTTAGTTCTGGTGCGATTATTTCATCGTGACAGCCTCCAGAACATAAAGCTTTCTCGCGTTTGATGATGATATTATAATGGTGGTGTTTCTGGTGAAGTCGTCTCGGGTAGTGTTCCGGCCGTGTTCTTTTCTCGCGTGCTCTTTTGGAGCACTGTCAGCCAAGCGCATCGTCAACTGCCTCGAAATTGTGGTGGCAGTTGCACCACCGTAGTTTGATCGTCTTACGAGCCGGCAATCTTCTATGTCATAACGACATTGGCAAACGACGTTGGCTCGTTGCAAGGGTTCAGGCTTGGCTGTGAGGCTATTTTTAATGATGAGTTGGCTGACCTTTCTGTTTTTGTAGAAGATGGTTTGCTTTATCTTGTCGTCCTGGCTGGCTGGCTTGACGTTTTCAGATGTCATTTTTTGCGGATACGTTCGTCTGTCGTATAACTATCGGACGTTTGTTTTTGATAGAACAGCTTTATTGGATTTAGTTGATGTTTGATGGCGTCAGTTTCCGTCTGACATCGTGACATAAAGCTGCTGGTCTCACGGTCGATGACACTGTTGGAGTATCCATTGTTTACTAGGACTTGTTTGATGCGCTGCATTTCACTCTGTAGTTGCTTCCAATCAGAGTAGAATTTCAAGGCTCTTCGGAGGCAGGAGCGCACTACACTTAACTTGCACCGGTTGGGGAACTTGATTGTGGCAATGGGGCATCGCGTAGCATCTGTTGGCTTTTTGCGCACTGTTGTCATGAGTCATTACTGGTCATCAGCGATGTCTATGTCTAAAAATGGAATGCGGTTGTTGACGCTTAGTTCGTATATAAATCTGAGAGTTGAAGCTTGCGCCATTGCAGTTTTTAGTTCGATTAGTTGGCTTTCTTCACTGATGTCTACGAAAATGTTATCAACATATCGTACGTAAAGTGCAGGACGGAGGGATGCATTTTGAAGGACTTTGTTTTCCACGTGACACATGTAGATGTTGGCAAAAAGCGCTCATAGAGGAACGCCATGGCCACTCCATTCTTTCGTCGGTGAAGTTTACCGTCTGGTGCACGAAATGGTGCCTCTGCCGTGCGTGCTCGCGGGAGATTCTCCAGAAGGGAGAGTGTGAGCCTAGGAGTAGGGATGGTCGGGAGGTGATAGGTGTTTTCAGGCAGAATTTGTACCGTCTCTCCTGCCGGAACGTTTGTAAATAAACTCTTGACTTCTAGTTATGCTCTTACGCCTGAAGGTTACGTGCTTTTTAGGATGTCCGAGGACTCGTCCGTCGGCTTTAGGCTATGCTCCACTGGAATGTACGGTGCGATGGGGCAGCTGAGTTGCTTGGCCAGTTGGTAGGCTGGCGTTGGGCACTGCGAAATGGTCGGGCGAGGCGGGCTCCCTGATTTGTGAATTTGAACATTGTCATAGGCTTGGGCGGGCTGGTATTCTCCAACAGTCTTCTGGAAATGAATACCATCCATGACAGCATTGGCGCGTCGATCAGTTTGCTTACTTTGATTTTCAAGTTGAATGTAGGCCCACGCGCGATATGCTCAAACTTGGCTTAAGTTGAAAGTATTCCATTGATTTTTTTATGGTAGTCGGGCGTGTCGATGATTACGTATAAGAATGTTTTGTCGGTCTACTTGCCGTGATCTCATCGCCCCCTCGGCGGGTTTTCGCGACCGCTCTGAGTTCGTTAGTCAGGATCTTGTTTTTTAGAGTTGCTTCGTCTAATGACACTTTCTCCAATGAGTCAATTCCGTTATTCAGGGTTTACCTAAACTTATCTGCCATCGCGTAGTTTCAAAACGTCTTGGTATGATAATTCCAGCTCCGCTTCTTTTTCTCTTGCGCTGTTTAGACCCAAATGCAAGACCTCTTTCTCCTTTTCTATAAGTTCATGTGTAGATAGGCTGATTAAGCTTTCATTTTTTCTCTAAAAAACGACAGATCCAGCATAGAGGTTACTCAGCTTCTTTAGGGATCTCTGTTTCGTGACATTCTCAATAGACTGAACTAAATGCTTAAGCTCTGTTTCGATCGATGATTTAAGGTTGCTATCAATGTGGGTCCCCTGGGACCGATTTTTGCCTACATGTGTCACGTGGAAAACAAAGTCCTTCAAAATGCATCCCTCCGTCCTGCACTTAACGCAAGATATGCTGATGACGTTTTTGTAAACGTCAGCGACGAAAGCCAGCTAATCGAACTAAAAATGCAATAGAATAAGCTTCAGTTCTCCGATTTATACATATTCGAAATAAGCGTCAATAACCGCGTTCCATTTTTAGACACAGACAGCACTGCTAACCAACGACGATCCGTGACAGCAGCGCACAAAAAGCAAACAGATGCTGGACGATGCCTCAATGCTACAAGCGAACATCCCGGCCGGTGCAAGGCCAGTGTAGTGGGCTCCTACCTCCGAAGAGCCTTTAAATTCTGCTCTGATTGGACGCGACTGCACAATCAACTGCAGCGCATCAAGCATGCAAATAATGGCTACTCCAACAGTGTCATCGACCGTGAGACCAGCAGCTTTATGTCACGATATCAGACAAAAACTGACGCCGTCAAACATCAACCAAATCCAATCAGACTACTTTATGAGAATCAAATGCCTGATAGTTATACGACAAACGAGCGTATCAAGAAAATGATGCCTGCAAACGTCAAGCCAGTCAACTAAGATGCCAAGATAACGCACACCATCTATTACAAAAACAGCAATGTCAACGAACTCATGAAAAATCACTTCACAGCCAAATTTGACCCCTTGAAACGAGCCAACGTCGTTTACCAATTTCATTGTGAAATAGGAGTTTGCTGGCTCCTGGAGCAATCAAACTGCGTTGGTGCAACTACCACCGCACTTTCAAGGCAGCTGACGATGCACTTGGCTGACGGTGCTCCAAAAGAGCACGTGAGAAAAGAACACGGCCGGAACACTACCCGAGACGACCTCACCAGAAACACCACCATCATAACATCATCATCAAACGGGAGGAAATTCTATGTTCTGGAATCTGTCACGATCACAACGTCGCCACCGGAAGTAAACAAGCTAAGCAACCCCTCTGCCACCGTTTACCTCATTTAGGGACGATCGATACCATCCGCAGATGGTGTATCTTGCTAGTCAGTACGTGTTTTGCCGCTTGAATTCTTATGCTCCTAAAAATTTCATCCACCTAATTTAGACTCTATGTAATCTGACGATCAAAATGAACTTTATTATACCTAATAGCTTTACCTTACTGGTTGTACTTAAACGTTACAAGAAATCACATGTTCGTCACTTGTATGTTGTGTGTGCGTACCTTTAAACATGGAATACGTAATTCCGAAACTACAGGCCAACCGATGGATGTCCAACGAGTTACTTATCGACGAGTTACTTTTTAGTCTCAATGATGAGCAGACAACCGCAATCACCGGATTAATCTGGAAATCCCCGCTGCGAGTATTGTGAAGAAATGTTGTACCGCGGCATTAGCTGTGAAATCGGGTGTTTACGGCGTACATTATCTGCTGCTACCTCTGCCTTATCGTGTCTGTACGCCTTAAAAAATTTGCCGCACCCATGGAATTGCCTGCCTTCCCTGATACCTGGGGTGATCGTTGCAGGTGTGCAACTGGTTCATCAACGCGCGACGACGCATCTTGCCAGAGTTGATCCGGCAGGAGGGCAACGACCCGGACCGCTTCACCATCAACCGCAAGAGCCGGCGTCCGCGCCAGCAGGAGGAGGAGCCGGCGCCGACGGCCGAGGAAGCCGGCTGGCCTCGCTCCTGGCCGCCGCCGCCGCCAGCCGAGCCTGGCCACCGCTTCCTGCCGCCCATCTCGCAGATCGACGCGGCACAGCGGGCTGAGCCGGGCCCGCCGGCGGCGCCGCTGCCGCCGTTCAGCCCCTACCAGCAGCCGGCGCCGTCCGCCGAGCCGTACCCGTTCGTCGGTGCGGCGGCGGCCGCGTACCCCGAGACGTACCCGCCGTACCCCGGCTACGCGGCCGAGCCGTTCCAGCTGGCACCGGCGCAGGTGACACCGCCGCCCACGCCGCCTCCGCCGCCGCCGCCGCCGCCGGCGCCTGCGGCGGCGCCGCGGCCGCGGCACGGCAGCTTCAACGGCCTGCGTATGTTGATGGACGCGGCCGCGCTGCAGGCGGACGGCGGGCCCGAGGAAAAGACCTACCTCAGCTTGTGATGGCGCGCCGGCGCGAGCGCTCGTAGTGGCGGCGTGTCCTGGTGCTGGCGTGTGACGGGTGGTGTGGTGGCGCGCGCCGCCTTGCGGTGTGGTGACGCGACGGGCGGCAGCGGCGGCGCTGCCCGCGCGCGATGCGAGAACTGCCGCGTTTCGGCGGTAAGAAGAAGCGTCATCATGCACCAGTGTGCCACCGGACAGCAGGGTCTAACATGCTGGCTATGACGTGCTAGCTCCGACGACGGAAACATCGGCGACAGCAGGGAGTCGTTGGCGCGCGCGCTGCGAGCGCCAGGTGAAGCCAGTGGACCGCCTAGTAAGAATGCTGCAAGCCGACAGCAGGTGCGCTTTGTTTGGCAACACGCTGCGTGTCAGGCGATTTTAAGTCATCCATAGTACTGCCTGCTAGTACTGTCTTGAGCTGACCGACAGTTTTTGTTCGCCGGCCGCTGGCTTGGCCACCTGCTGATCCCAAATTTTAAAGTTAGCGAATACGCTGAGAACAGTGCAAGACTTGCAACGCTTGTTACGAAGGGAGCATTGTGGCATTCTGGAGATGGCTGGCCCCCATTCTGGACTAATTTGGGAAGTGCATTTTTTTCGCATCGAACGTTAGGGAAGGCAAAGCCCCTCAGAGCTTAGATCAAGAGTCACAAACATGAGGTCACTTGTTATTGGTGCACTACACGTCCTCGCATCTGGGGAGTTAATTGTCAACGACTCCGCGTCATTGCCCTCTTCAAATAGTGTTGTTTTTTTCAACAAACGACGAGCGACCAGGCCACTTTGCGACTCTGAGCCCCTCCCCAGCAAGGCCCAAAGATGAGCAACAGGCGCCGTCTGTGTACTGGAGTCAGTCGAGCTGGTAGGCTCGCGTGTGCTATTACGTAGGGGATTGTTCGTCGGAGCTGGCGTCGACATTTGCTGGGTACGCCTGATGAAACGAGTCTTCCCATAGAGAGTGGGACGCGCGAGAGCCGTCCGCCGACCCAGTCCGCCTGCCAGGTGCCTTAATCCCATCAGCGTCGCGGTGGCTGCCCCAAAGAGTGACGTAGCGGAAGGTAGAGTAGCGCGCGTGACATGTTCCTGTAAGCGTATTAAGAGGTTTTAGCCCATGCGTAGAAAGTTCAAAGGTTGGCTAGGTTCCCGCCAGTCGACTCTTGCAAAGACGTTCCTCTGGCCTTGCTCAACTAGGTAGAATAGCCAAGGGTGTGTATTAGTACAGCATTCCAGAGTTGTGGCGGAAATATATAAACGCTGGACAGGTGTACCTTTTGACAGATGCTCAACTGATGATGTGCTGCTACTACTGGACGTATGGAAAGACGTTAAATTGAGCCTGCTGTATTGCTGCTTCCTCAGGAAAGGAGCCTTTAGTGATCTGAGACGTGACGGTGTGCTTCAAAAGGTTTTTAGCAAATAGAGAACAAAAGTATGTGTTCTCAGGTTGGTGGCCGAGAAGTGAGCCATTATTACCTACAAGCTTTGTGGCGATGCATGTAGTGCGTATCCGTTCCCACCCGGCAATGAATGAGGTGAAATGCTCACACCGAATTAAATGAAGACATAGTAGCTGGCTACAAATTACGGTTTTGCGTTTCAATTGCATGTAATTTCTGACCGTGACTCAACAATAATGGCTCGTAAAATTTCACCGGTGGATTCGGGAAGCAAGGCAATAACAGAACACCTGGTGTGCATCAACTGAACTACAGCTATTGCCGCTTACCCGTGAGATGTCCTTGGCCGGCTGCTGGCTCTCACGCCTGCAGGTCAGAAGCGCAGTTTATCGTTTGGTTATTAAATACGATTCCAAAGTTTCAGTGCCAGCGTGGGAAAGAAGGGAAGAGACGAGTAATGCACCCATTCAAAGTTTGCTTCTGCTCTTTGGCCTACGGAAGGTCTCTGGATTGATTGCGAACGATGTTATAAAAACAAAGACACACAGACGCATGCCGATAATTATATTCTGATAGCTAAGAACAACAGGTATCATCTTGACGTGTGTCTAAAATGTGTTCATCAGTACGTGCTCGGCCATCTTTCTTCTTTTCACAATTTCTATTCATGCTATTTTCCACGCTCTGAAGTATTCACCCCACATAAGCAGCCGGAAAAACGGCCCCGATGCGCAAATGTGTCTTTAAAAGCAATACGATCGTGGAAAAGAGACTTCTTGCCAGTTAAGCATTTCAGAAATAATTTTTGTTAGATATTGCAAAGCTCCTAGCAGCAAGCGAGAGTGTGTGACTAGAGCGGATCCAGGGGAGGAAACATCCAGACCCACATCCCCTCCCCAGGATGGTTAAATTGTGGATCGTTGACAATTGTTGGGTTCTGAATAGCGTTTAGGAAACTTTCATAAATTTTCTCGTTTGTTGAACAACCTGATTTTTTAAATTTGTGGTCATTTCAGAGTATTTCAGAACACTACAAGACACACTGAGCTTCTGCAACAAACAGGAAGGAAATCATAATCCTCGCAGTTGTCACGACACACTTCTTCCAGTTCCTGTCTGCCTCGGCGCTTGCGAACGCTGCAATCACCACCACCTTTCACCACCTTCTACACCAAAACATGCCAAAGTCCGTTTTCTCTAACCTACAAAACAGGGTCTACAGGCATCTGTGAAACTGGAGGAAAGCAAGACCAAACGTGGCGCCAGTTGACCGCGCCCCACCACGGCACTGACGCTGGCGCTGGCGGTGCCACCCCGGGCGCGGGCCGGCGGCATTGTCTCGCTCCCTCCTCGGCCGGCAAGTCATCCCCTCCGGCGACGGGGACGGCTGTATGGAGGCCCATCTGCGGGTGTGCCGTGCCAGTCCCGCGGCGCCACGCGGCAGCCAGTCTTGGTGGGCCTTTGTTGTACCTAACGCATTGAGCAAGTTTAATTTCCTATGGGCACTTTTGTCCGCGCGCATCCTCCACATTATCTGTTCCACCGTCGCCTTTGTTAGTCGCGGCCCGCTTTGTCGAGACCCGCTCCCCTTTTGTTGGCGTTCTATACGTCTTTTTGCCGTCGAGTCGCCGGCGTCGCTTGAACAATACTTGCCTCGGCGGCGGCACAATGCGGTCCGACGCGGGGGCCGTCGGCCGCGCCGCTCTCCGCCGTCGGCGCCGACGAGGCCGTGCGCGTGTCACCAGCGCCGCGGGACGCGACGGCGACGACGTCGACGACGGCCGCTGCGACGGGCGGCGCGTGACTGCTGACCTTTGTCGTCGCTTTGTGAACTTAGGGAGAATCGATCGCTGAAGAGCTGCAGGGGTATCGATTGGTCGGCGACATTGTGCATGGGTGGACGCGTGTGGAATTGAAACTTCCCGGAAAAACTTGACGTGAGCGTGTCGTGATCTTCGGTTCATTCATTCAATATAAGGGCCAATAGGCTCCGTGATGGGAATTAGGTACAATAAGGAGTCACGCCATCCGAAACAATGAATTATCCACGTAACCGTATTAGCTCATGCTCACATGAACAGCTTCCTGCTACATTTAGATAGCTTTTAGCGTTGGTGAAGTGAATGAATATTGACTGTTCGTGTTGCATTTAAATGCTAGTAGCATGCAGCTTAAATATGCAAGACTATACATGTATGCCTAAGTATGGAAGTTTAAATAGAAGTAAGTTGTAGGTAACGTAAGTTCTTAAGTGCATTTGCGAGGAAGCATGCCTGGAGAATGGAGATATAGATGCGTTGATATTTCGGCAGCATGCCTTCATCGAAACAAATAACAAAAGTCAAGGCTGCTAACGTAAAAGACTATGCAGTCGTGACGTCAACATGGGACTAAAATTTGATAGCCCGTAGTAATGGTTTTAGTTCATACTATAAAAATATTGGTACATACTAGGAAGAATGATTAAAAAGGGAGATTTCACCAATCAACTGGGTGACAATCCTGTTCTTCATCTTTATTTCAATGTTATGTGAATAGATTTTGCACATTTTGCATTTTAGTTTTCTTAATACAAATCAATACCAGGATTTGCTTCCAAAAATAGATCCTACTAAACCAAGTTTCCCAACTCCAGCACCCGCGCCATACTCATTGTAGTCAACGCGACTAAATATTCAGGTGTAATGCCTATTGTAAAATGAGTATTGATATCTAGATACATAGATATTATGTATGATGTTTATATTGAATCCATGAATGGGCAATGGTTGCCCATTTATCTTCGTACTGCACATAGGCGTAGGAAATGTTTCAAAAATTGGGGGGGGGGGGCAAGCTCAGGGTGTACTTGAGGAACTTCTCTGGAAAGCAGGCTTGATGACCGGCGGGGGGGGGGGGGGGGGTAGAGATGGAGTTTGTTATCGCTCCTTTTTTCAAATGGCATGGCTGCTTTGCTAGATATGCACTAAAGCTGTTTGTTACTGGTACGCAAGCTTGTCCGTTCGACTCATCGACGCCATTCTGCAAACAAGGCAATCCAGACTCCCAAGATTATTTGTCTATTTTAACATTGTCTATTCTGGGGAGGCAAAATTCCACGAGCGGGTAGGCATTTTGGGTCATCAAGGAGGCATCCGTCTCCACAGGGTAGGTGCCAAAATTCAGGCTGGACATAGGCTGGTGAGAATTTCGAAAGTGAATCAATAGCTCACACTGCGACAGATTGTTTTCATTCTCCTTGATTTCGCTGGCTTCTGTTCAAAAGACAAAATTTGTCGCAGCATTTTAGGCGAGAACCAATTCAAACCTTGGGAATACCAAAAACAAAGAGACAAAAACCGTAAAACTGGAGATTCTCTTTTAAAAACCAAGCCACATGATGAATATGCGTCTGTCATATGCTTCTTATCTGGGCCCTGCTCCCGTCCGCCGTTGGCGGCCACCGCCCTGGTCTGGCTGTCTCCGGCATGACCGACTGTGAACTGATCGCATGGCTGCTTTGTTGCATATTTCTGGATCAACATTACTACTAACTGGTGTGTGAAACATTTCTTGGACACCTGCAACAGTATTTTTTCCCGAATTAACTAGCCCCCGGGAAGC